TCCCAATAACATTTTGTTCTTTGCTCATCCCATCGTTTCCCCATATTTGTTTCCCTAAGCCTTCCAAAATAGTTTCCATCAAATCCAAACACTCAGCAGCCTGTATGTCAAGCTAGTTTCTAAGCACAAAGAGGAAAGTATTTCCCCTCCTGAACTGCAGAAGATCAAGTGCCCTCAGGTCCAGGTCAGGGCTAAGCCTTCAACAAAAGGATTTTCCTGGAATAGGCAAGAAGGTTCAAGTTGACTAAATGAGTTCACTAAAGCCAGGATCAGGCTCGCTGCTGGAGCTCCTTGGTCCCAGGCTGTCACTTTGATAGATCTCCTCCTCTCAGAGTATATGCCTTGCACCCTGCTGCCAAAGCCACAACTGCAGCCACTCACAGGGGCGGTGGCTGTTTCCACACTCCATGTTCCTGGATGGTACAAATGCCTTTGCCGCACAACTTGTCCTACAGACCTACATAAGCCAGCGAGACAGAAGGGAGAGTTGGGCAGAAGAACTGCCAAAGAGACAAACGTTGTTTGAGGTAGAGCAATCCCTGCACCTCAGGTCCAAACTTGTCCTCTTGGTGCGAGAAACTTGGGACGGAGGAGGAAGCTTCCAAAATTGGTGACTTTCGAGTTGTTAAAAAATTTTCTGCCCCCTCCCCTAAGCGTAGGTTTCCTTGAAGAACAGTACATTCTTCACAAAAGTGGTTTCCAGGGAAAATGTTTGAACCGGGTGAAGTCTCACTTTCAAATTCAGATTATGTTTTTTGTTTAGTTTGGGGCTAATGACTATTTTCTCTTCAGACACTGCCATGCTCATTCACTTTTCCAAACAGGCGGTGAAAAATGTTGAAGGAAAAATTCCTCTGCTGCCCTCGGGTTTTACTTTGCCCAGCTCTGAAGACAGGCCCATACTGCACACTTTTGCCACCACAGTTACATCAGCTCCACCACCTCCAGAAATAAAGACATTAAGCCAAGAAAAGCAATCTCACACTGGTGAAGACTGCACCTCTGCTGGGAAGCTCTGCAGGTAGCTTCCTAAGTCAAAGACCTTACTTCCTGACTGCCAAGCTTTGGGCTCACACCACTGAACTACAGGGAAGTCACTAATTTTTTCTGTGCCTCCGTCCCTATCTGCACAATACCTGTGTACACATCCGTGTTGAGAGGGATATAGGGCTATGTTCTGGAGAAATGACGAGGAATTCTACGCGGGGCGTGGGCTGCCTCGTAAGCCATGAGCACATGTACAGCACCAAGCGCAGGGGCGGCAAGCTCAGCGGCAGGAGCAGTACAGATAGCAGGTGCTGCCAGAACTGTCTGCAGCATCACGCCCTTAGCGAAGCAGATAAGTTAATTAAATAGCAGGAAAGGAAAAGACCATTTAAAGAGCTGAGTCTGAATGACTAATGGTCTTAGTCACTCATTTTATGAAGATCTTGGGCAAAAACTCCTTTTAAAATAATTTTTATCTGGATCATGTTCCTTTAAGACATTTCTCAAATCATCCAGTGAGAGCTACTGGGAAATGTCGCTCTCATTCCCTGAGACTTTCAATGTCCAGAATGTTGACAACTGCCACCTCCTGTCCCCACCTGCAACATTCTCTTAGGCTGAGCACTCTTACCTAGTACAGGCCTATGACAGTTGCTAGAAAAGAATGATTTTTTCCTGCAGAAAATGAAATTTTCTTCCCCAAAAACACTGAGTTGAAACTTTCCAGTGTTTTGATAGAAACCTTCTCCAAATATGTCTTCTTGTTTCATTCAGGGAAAAAAGCTCTTAACATTTCAGAAAGAAACAAAAATCAGCTGCGGAAGACTCCATGTGCAGGCTATTTCAGAAGGCTGTTTCACATTTTAAGAAATGCTAAAAACATTCAGCCAGCCCTTCACACAACATGGTGGTGATAGAAATGTAAGAGCACATTGGAAATGTTAAGCATGCTGCACTTATGGATCAGTGGTTTAGTTTCCCATGGTGCCATTTGTACCAGAAATGCCCCGTTACTTTTTTTAATATGTGGGTTTTTTCTCAACGGGATCAGTGGTCCTCCCAAGCTCACCCAATGCAGCACACACAGCTCTGCCACAACAACTACATGGGTGGGGTAAGAGCAAAAGGAAGGAGCTGGGATGACAGTACTTTATGCTGCCTATTGCCTCCAAAGGTTTCATAAAATCAAACCACAGCCCAAACTGTGCCTTCCTCACAAGATTAAGACTCTATTTCCTGCAGTGCCCGTCCTCAAGAAAGGAAGGTCTCAGTCAGTCTGACTCAGGAAATGTTGCAGGGTTTGCCCTCGTGGTCTGAATCATCTGTGGCACGCAGAGAGGCAAGTGGCAAATCGAGAGATTTCCCCAGGTATCATCGGTATTACAGCAGTATGCAAAGGCCCACCTACCGATGAGGCACTGTACTATGGAATGACAACCCCATCCCAAAACATTTATGCCCCATTTGAGTAAAACAGTGGGAGAATGTAGGCACAGTGGCATGATTTGACCCATGATGGAGAGTGTAATCAAGGCCAGTCCCCTACAGCAACAGGCATCCCTGCCTGCAATCGTAAAGTCATCACAGGCCAAAAGACCCCACAGCAGGGTCCCAGCACGCCGATGGGTACAACAGTGCTTCTTGCCCTTCGCACACGAGTAACAAGTCTTGCTCCTGGCAGCACCTGGTCCGTTGCCTGCCTGGGCACCCAAGGCTAGAGACAAAGGCCGGTCGGACAGGAGAGCAAAACTTCATTGCGCACAATGCAAACTCAGTGCCCGCCATTAGAGGATGCTGTTGAAAATACTCATGTAGGCCACTGTACAGGAGGGTGCTAGGCAATGCCGAGGGCAGAAGGAGTTTTAGCGAACCTTGCCAAGTTTTTAAGTGAGTGTTTTTATGAGAGTGTGTCGCTTGAACAAATGTATTTTGTTTGATGGGCAGCGACACCTCGTGGCACAGGCCTCCCCCCCTCCCCAGGTTTGCGGCCAACGGTACACTTCTTTTTCCTGGGGCAGGTTCTTAGTCATGCTAAAATTAGGGGGAGTTTTGCCACAGAGTCCGGTGGAGCCCAGATTTCAGGGCTGATGTTTCACAGGAAACAATGATGATGATAAGATTTACCTCTTGCAAACATTTACTAAAAATCAGACGTCATCTTTTAAGAGAAGCTGCCCGAGGGCTCTTAGCAAGACCTTAATGAGACCGTCCCTAGAATTGCTTCCTATTTTGCTCAGACTGCTACAGGAAGCAAGCGTAAGAGCCGTGTGTTGGCACTAGCTCTGCAGCTTTGATGCTGAAGGGGAATAGATCTAGGACCCTTCTGACGCTTAGCTTTGTTTTTTTCCTTATAAAGGACTGTAGATCTTTTTGCATGAGAAAGAGAAACTTCCATAGAAATTAAACAGACATAACAAAACAGCCAAGGAACAAGAAAAGTACTGGTAACAGAAGCCTATGGTAAAAAGAAATGGAGATTTTTGGAGAAAGTTGTAAATGAAGAAACTTGTAACTGCGTCTCCTCCTACAGCTTGAATCGTACCATGTTCGGGGAAATGAGACATTTGATACCTTCCTGGTAAACATACAAGATTTTGCCAATACAAATCCCAGCTCCATCGGCTCTTCCCCCGCTTAGTACCCAGAACCTGACATTCACAGGTAGAGCAACGGGCGGCTGTCTGCTGGGCTTGGTGAGTTTTCCACCTAGGGAAGACCCAGAAAACCCCCTTTTCTTTATGCCAGTGTTACCTTCTGTGTGATAACTTTATTGACACATTTCCTTTACTTGTGGCACAGGCCTGGATGTGGTTGTGAATGGGAGGAGCAGGAGAGTAGACGTGACAACCAAACAGCATGACTGATCAGGCTGTTTTTCCCCCTCTCTCTCTGTGCTGAGGATGCAATGGCACAGCTATTCCAAGCACATACGCCTTGGGCACATTGTACTTGGTAGCATAGCTCACAGCTGAACCAGGATGTTTCCTGCTATGTTTCTGATACACACAGAACAAAACTGCTGTCTCCATGACTTTGCTTTAGGAAGACGTGTGAGTCCATAATATACAGCAGCAACTCAGGCACTGAGCTTTGCCCCAGGAGAGCTCTGGAGTTTAAAGGTACGATATGCTGAAAACACAAACACCTCGAGAGTTCCACAGCTGCAAATGCCAAGGCCAACAGCTGATGTGCTCATCGATTAGGCAGGGCAGGGTTCAAGAACAATCCAGGTGTTGGTATAGTCCTGGCAACTGGTCCTGATCTTGACTGATATTTTTAAGTTAATGACAAATAGTTGATAAGTGGTAACTAAGGCATAAGGAAATTGCAGCACTGGCATTCAACAGAACCACAGGATTTATCGGAAGGATCCATGTCCTTTCATTCCCCACACTGTGTATGGGGCAGATCCCTGTCCCATTTCTGCACTTTAATTCCCCCATCCATAAAGTGGAGTAATTCCTTAACTTCTGAAAAATATTCTTAACCTGGTAACATAAATTAAGAGAAAATCCTTGGTCTCTTGTAAAAACAACACTACCATAATATCGCGCACTGCTGATTGATTACTGATTTTTATTATTGCTAGGTTATTATCAGATATCTCATGCAGTAAAACCTTATTTGATTTCTATTAGTATTTCACAGCCACATAGGTAAATTCCAAAGGTCAGTTTTTTAATGAAGTGCCTCACAAGATAAGGCTGACACTGTTCTACTCTGTTCCTTTTGCACATGGCCTGTGAAGAGATCAGCTGCGTTACACTGGAGGGCGCAGTACTGCAATCTTTATGACATTTTTCTTTCATCAAAAGCACTCTCACTTTTGAACTTCCCCAGTCCAATGTGCAGTGCGATATTTGGGCCGTACCAGGAAGCGAGGCTGTGCGCGTGTGTGCAGTTCATTAACTGTGTGCTCCTCTGTAATTCATACAACTTAATACAAGAAAGCAACATGATGAAAAGGTAGTAAGGAAAGAAATATATTACAAGTGGAAAAGTTCTGCTTTGGCATGTCTACCTGGAGAGTCCGAGTCCTGATGGCACTGTGCTTCCTGCGGCAGACTAGAGGTACAGTACAGCTGTCTTCATTACTTTTCATTTTGCTATGCTATGTGGCTTTGCTTGTAAGAGGCAAGACATACACAGGTAAATCTTAAGCAGTTTAAGTGGGAATTATTCACATAAAGTGAAATACTCCACTATACAGAAATGGCAATTTAATAGACATCTATAGAATGTGTCATGTTGAAGGCTAGTGATGTACATATTTATCTACCAGAAACAGTTAAATACCAGGCAAGTACAAGCAGCAAGCCTGGGTGCTGCACCTCGCAGCATTCCTGGTAGGATCTGCCTTTGAAGAACTGGGATTGAATGAGCAGTGTGAGCCAGCTGTGTCCACATCATCCAGGGGCCACGAGCAGGGAGCACAAGGGAGTCGGGTTGGAGTTTGTGAGGTTGTAAACCAGGTCACGGGGAAATCCAGTGAGACCATGGGGGAAGCCACTGAAAATTATAGAATAGGATGTTTCACACAAATTTAGGTACTAGTTCTAAAAAGTGTTGAGACAAAGATGTTTTATAAGAGATGAGGAAAACATGACTATGTCAGAGACACATCTGCTTCCATAGCCAATTTCTAGTCTTAAATGAACTGAGCTGCTCAGCCCCAAATTTTGAAACCACTTGGGTCAAAACCATGTGATATTTCCTATCCTGAAAGATATTTTTAATCAATCACATAATTTTCCCTTTCAATCAGGTCATGTTCAACTTCACCCTCCTCAAAATGTTACACTACTGTCAAAGGATTTTGACATGATTTTGACATGGACTCCAGGAGAAGGGTCTCCACCAGATGTGACATACACTGTGAGGTATGAAAGGTAAGCGCTTACAAAGGATGTCTGATTGAAAGTATGGCACAGGGAAAACATCTGTGCATGTGTATTAATCAATGTCTTTATGATCAGTGACCTGGCTGCATCCTTTCACCAAAAGCTTGTCTGTCTGGAAAGTGCTCCAAACTCTGAGCCAGATTCGGTACCCATCCTCCAAAACACAGGGTGTTTAATATTATGGTATGCTTTTTTCTTCTTTTAGCCAAGAACGCATGGACAAATGGATAAAGGTTCCTCATTGCAAAAATATTCACAGAACCTCTTGCAATCTGACTTGTGTGCTTCCCAACTTCTTTGTTAAAGTCCGAGCTCGAGTAAAAGCTGTTTCTGGACGATTACAGTCACCATGGGTAGAATCACAATTCAAGGAATACCATTTGGATGGTGAGTGTCTGTCAGGTTACAGCCTGGATGAAAGGACATCCCAACAACAGTGTTGACATGAGCAAATGAGTAGACCACACACCACAGAAACAGTAACAAGCAGCTTTATGAATGACAGAGACTTGAGTGGGTACAAACAACAAAGAGCCATGATAATTTGAAAATAAATTTTGTAGCAAGCGCCAGAAGTTGTTCATCAATACTCTAGGTGAACAAACTGGCTTCAAGCTTTCCACATACCAGCGGGGGTATGTTAGATAAAAAAGAGGTATCCCTTTGCCTTCCTGCCTCCTTCATGTCTATCACAAGATAACAGTTAGAAGAATAGCTCAGTCATAGAAAAGCATTACTTTTGAGAAGCTAAGACACAAGCAAGCATATTTCTTATGTCTGGTCACTCAATTACAGTGGAACTGGCTCCCCCAGTGCTAAACGTGAATGTAAAGGAGAACTTAATCCATGTGAATGCCTCCTTCCCTTTGGCCACCTGTGTGGAGAGTTTCTCTTGGATGTATGACTTGAACCTTTGGGAAGCTGGATCTGAAGACAAGGTCAGTAAAAGTCAGTAGATGAAACAGAGGAATGATCCCCAGCATGAACTGAAATAACTTCAAATTTCTGGGCAGAGAGGGACTGGACCCACGGCCTGGAAAAAATGAAATGGCCAAACCAGAGTTAAACCAAAGCCAGAGGAAAAAAAGTAGATGTGTGTGAGTGCGTCCTTATTTTATTAGTAGTTCCTTTTCCTATTCTATTCCTGCTTATATCAGGAAGATGTGATGGGGAGGCTACACTATAGTCAGTATAATAGGGCAATATCTGAGGTCTAAAACAACTAGTTCAGGTACCGCTAACAGCGTGCCATGGCAGCACAGAGCACAGCACCAGCTGGAAATGCCACCCTAGAATCCGTAAGCGCTAGGAGAGATGCTTGCTACAAACAGCAAGCAAGACCTGAAGTGCCTCTCCACGCACCTTCCAAGCACTGGAGCCACACCACATGATGAAGAGAATCATGGGCTAAAAAGGTAGAGGAAACACCATTCAAATAATGAAAGAATAATCTTTCCAACCCTCTATTCTTTTTGTTTCTAAACAGAAGCAATACGAAGGTATCTTCAGGAAGAATACAGTGACTATCGACACCACTGCACTTAAAGGCAACTACTGTTTAAGTGCCAGATCTTCCTTCCAAAGCATTGACTTCAAGCACAGCAAATTCTCCCAACCACTGTGTGTGCTATTAAACCACAAAGGTATGGCCCTGCTGAGAAAAGGATGTGGTGAGACATCAAAAGGGATTAGAGCAAATCAAAAATTTCCACCAAAATTAGCTTTTCAACAACAACAAAAAGGTCTTCCTGTTAAATGGACTGGTTGGATTTTCCAGTGAAAGGTTCCTGTTTTCTGTAGAAATATTTTAATTAAAAAAAATCAAATCCTGAAATATTTTCTGAAAATCCTGAAATATTGTACTTGAGTTATGCTCACAATGAAATTTTGTGAATATTCAAATTTATCCTGAAAAATATGTAAATAAACCTCTATTTTTTTACCTGCTCCAACTAAGGCACTGCCTGGTATCAACATTCACTTCTGTCCGTGACTCTGACTTAAAGTCTGATCTTAGGGCAGTCTGTTATCCTTTCTCCACATTTGTAAAATAAGAATCTTGAGCCTAGCATTTTCTGAAAGAAAAGCTGAGTATAAGAGCCTATTATTAGTATAAAATATACCAGCAGCAGGAGATTATTTTTGTCTTTTTCTTTTTCAGCAGTGGAATGGAAGTTACCGTTTTCTGCCATGATCCCTGTGTTTGTCCTCCCCATCCTTCTGACAAGCGCCTTCATCATCTGCTTGCTGAAACAAGAAGCTAAGCAAAAGAAGATGCCTCGTGCTTTGGTATGGCCCAAATGCTGGGGTCCCCTCCTGAGTCAAAGTCTTGCTGATTTTCAGAGGGTAGCTGGGGAGGAGTCACGAGTTGCATGGGCTCTGCGCTTCTCAGTTTTCCTTTCCTAAGACCCACTATAATTAAGCTTTGATTCTGGCATGTCCTATATCCAAACTTTTCTTTAAAAAGAAAGTGTGTCTTGTTTCTTTTCCCTGGTAGGATTTATCACATTTAAAAGCTGCTGGACCAGCCTTTCACTGTGAGCCCAGTGAAAAGGAATTCTTCAGGGACTATATTATCTGCACAGAGAAGCCAGTGTCACAAAGGAAGACGAACAAAACTTTAGCAAGAAACAACCTACCATGGATGGCTTCTTTCCTCTCATCATCATCATCATCATCATCATCATCAGAAGAGGAGGAGGAGGAAGAGGAAGAAGACAGCAGTACTTTCATCCCATACACTGAAATGCCTCAGTTTCCAAAGAGACATCTCAACTGTCAAGCATCCAGAACAGCTGAGGGGGAAACTGGCTTGGACTCCGTATCTGGAGGTCTCTCTATGGACTGTGAATCTGTGCTTGACCTAAGTACCTTGGGTTTCTCATTCTTTCCAATGAGACAGAATGAGGTGGACACCTCAGGATCCCAAGGAGATGAGATGGTATCCCTTTCTCACAGTTCCTCTTTGGGAAGAATATCCCTCACTGATGTGAGATTCCCAGGTCCCAGGGAACAGCATGATAGAGACAGGGATTGCCAGACAGAATGCCTGGAAATGACAGCTCTTCAAACACGGACGGAGGGGATTTGTGCCAAACTTCCAGCTGATGAGCACTACCTGTGTAGGAAGGCTCTTCATTTCACCAAGTGTTACAAGAAACCAACAGTTGATCTGCATGTCCAGATTGGTGAGGATCCCAGCACCAAGCTGCTCATTTCCTTTCAGACATTACAGGTGGCAGAAGATGAAGGTATTGCAAGTGACTGTGACAGCGATAATTTTATTGAAGGGACACCTCCTGCATCCACCATGCTAAGTGACACATTTGAAACTTCAAATATGGAGGAAAAATATGATCACAAGCTTAAATTCAAAGGCTACGAGCACACGCATTACATGGGAAGGAGCTAGAGTACCCTAGCAGTTCTGTGGCATATGCCTGGAAAATGCTAGAGAGCTCCAGATATCCAGGCAAGGATACCTAAAGAACAAGGACAAATAACTGATAATGGTGCTCTTTGTATTTATTCACCTAGACAGAGTTTTTTCTACTGATGTCTGGCTGTGGTGTGTTGACCCTGGCTGGTTGTGAGGTGCCTACCAAAGCTGTTCTATCACTCTCCTCCTCAACTGGACAGGAGAGAGAAAATATAACAAAAGGCTCATGAGTTAAGAAAAGGACAGGGAGATCATTCAGCAATTACCATCACGGGCAAAACAGACTTGACTGGGGGAAAATTAATTCAATTTATTACCAATCAAATCAGAATAGGACAATGAGAAATAAAACCTAAATCTTAAAATGACTTCCCCCCGCTGCTCCCTTCTTCCTGGTCTTAACTTTACTCCCGAGTTCTCTCCCTCCTCCCCTGCAGCGGCACAGCAGGCACAGGGAATGGGGGCTGTGGTCAGTTCATCACACTTTGTTTCTGCCACTCCTCAGGGGAGGACTTCTCACACTCTCCCAGGGAACAGCATGATAGAGACAGGGATTGCCAGACAGAATGCCTGGAAATGACAGCTCTTCAAACACGGACGGAGGGGATTTGTGCCAAACTTCCAGCTGATGAGCACTACCTGTGTAGGAAGGCTCTTCATTTCACCAAGTGTTACAAGAAACCAACAGTTGATCTGCATGTCCAGATTGGTGAGGATCCCAGCACCAAGCTGCTCATTTCCTTTCAGACATTACAGGTGGCAGAAGATGAAGGTATTGCAAGTGACTGTGACAGCGATAATTTTATTGAAGGGACACCTCCTGCATCCACCATGCTAAGTGACACATTTGAAACTTCAAATATGGAGGAAAAATATGATCACAAGCTTAAATTCAAAGGCTACGAGCACACGCATTACATGGGAAGGAGCTAGAGTACCCTAGCAGTTCTGTGGCATATGCCTGGAAAATGCTAGAGAGCTCCAGATATCCAGGCAAGGATACCTAAAGAACAAGGACAAATAACTGATAATGGTGCTCTTTGTATTTATTCACCTAGACAGAGTTTTTTCTACTGATGTCTGGCTGTGGTGTGTTGACCCTGGCTGGTTGTGAGGTGCCTACCAAAGCTGTTCTATCACTCTCCTCCTCAACTGGACAGGAGAGAGAAAATATAACAAAAGGCTCATGAGTTAAGAAAAGGACAGGGAGATCATTCAGCAATTACCATCACGGGCAAAACAGACTTGACTGGGGGAAAATTAATTCAATTTATTACCAATCAAATCAGAATAGTACAATAAGAAATAAAACCTAAATCTTAAAATGACTTCCCCCCGCTGCTCCCTTCTTCCTGGTCTTAACTTTACTCCCGAGTTCTCTCCCTCCTCCCCTGCAGCGGCACAGCAGGCACAGGGAATGGGGGCTGTGGTCAGTTCATCACACTTTGTTTCTGCCACTCCTCAGGGGAGGACTTCTCACACTC